GGTGCGAGATGAAGCTGGCGCGAAGCAGGTTTGAACCACAATGGCTATGGAAGGATGGCCCAGGGAGGAGGAGGAGGAGGAGGCTGTTGGTTCTTCTGGGGCCTTTGGGCGACTCTGCTTGCAAAACAGTGTTGTGACCATACGATCTGGTAATGGGGCAAGGCCATGGGGGGATACCTGCAAGTTTATCTTGGGGCGACTTTGAGACCTACGCTCACGCCGAAGGTGACGAGACAGGGACTCAGCAAGAACTATCACATACAGACGAGAGATTACTGATGGACAATAAACGCGAAGGGAGGCATGGTGAAGGGGCGGTGGAGTTGATGAAAAGGAGGTGGAGGAGGATATCGAAAGGGGTGGCTTGAATTTTTGGGGATCACGGTACCCTGGGACAGAACAACAGGACAGTCAGATCACCAGAAGAGGGAAACCGAGGAGATTGTCCATGCAGCAAGTCGATTGTGGGAACATTGTATGTGGCACATAGGCCCGCTGCAAGCACTGGCTTTGGAATCATACGTCGATTGTCGTAGGACATCAGATGCCAATACGAGTGTGTATAATTGGTGATTAGGCCAGCCTTGTCTGGAACGCTGCCCCTTCCCAGTGCGAAGCAACCACTTGCGACTTTCAGAAATCACTCCAAACATCAGTTTTTTGTACTGTTTTCTTGAAACCCCAAAAAAGAACAAAAGCACTCAAAAAGCACTCCCTGGAGCACTCTGGATCGCGTCGCCAGGGATTTCTCAGAGAGGCGGCTCTCCAGGGCAGCGGCGTTATAAATCGAGCCTCCTCCGCTCCTCCCCCGTTCCCGTCATCCCCCTCCCTCCCTCCCTCTTCCCCTCGATCCTTGATCCCCCTCCTCTTTTTAACGGGCGAAGAATGGGTTTCCTTAATTTGTTTCGCCGTAGGGGACGCCTGTCCCATGGAGGCTAGTTTTTGTTCCCCTACGTTGGCACGTCAGGGTTTGGGCTATCCAGCTGATCTGGGACAGGCGCCCTTGTGACGGAAAAGTTTATTTTAGACCGTTATTATCCAACGATTTTCTCTCCTCTTTTGTTCCTCTCATCACCCTGCCTCTCTCCTTCTTCACTCCCCTCTTCCCCCTCCCCCTCCTTCGTTGTTGTCATTGTCGTCGTCTTCGTCGCCATCGCCATCGCCATCGCTGTCGCCGCCGTGGTCGCCGCCGCCGCCGCGGTCACCGCCGCCGCGGTCACCGCCGCCGCGGTCGCCGTCGCTGCCGCCGTCCCGCCGTGGTCGTCGTCGTCGCCGCCGCCGCCGCCGCCGTCGCGTCCTCGCCAGAGGAGGGCCAGCTGAGACAGCGCGAGGCTGGTTTCGGGGGGGGGCCCTCGTCGCCACGGCTGGACGCAGGTTGAAACATTGGTGCGTCTGGACTTTGGTTTCGGGGGGCGGAGGCGAAAATGGGGGAGCGCGAAGAGGAGTGGGAGTGAGGAGGAGGAGGAGGAGGAGGAGGAGGAGGAGGAGGAGGAGGAGGAGGAGGAGGAGGAGGAGGAGGAGGAGGAGGAGGAGGAGGAGGGAGGAGGAGGCGGAGGAGGAGGAGGAGGAGGAGGGGTCCGCGGACCGACTTTGAGCTGCTGTTGTCTCAGCTCGCCCTCCTCCGACCTCGCCCTTTTAAGGAGCAGGGAGGCTCCCGGGGAGCCCTGGGGGGGCCCGGGTGGGGGCTGGGAGGCCGCCGTCGCCGAGGAGGCCCTGGGAGCCCGCCTACCTGGATGGTGCGGAGGGAGGAGGATGAGGAGGAGGAGGAGGAGGAGGAGGAGGAGGAGGGGAAGGAGGGGGAGGAGGAGGGGGAGGAGGAGGAGGGGGGGGAGGAGGAGGAGGGGGAGGAGGAGCAGGAGGAGGAGGAGGAAGAGGAGGAGGAGGAGGAGGAGGAGGAGGAGGAGCAGGGCTGGGGGTAAGAGTTTGTGATAGCAGTGGTAAAGATGATGATGAGGACAGCGGGGGAGGAGCAGCAGGAAGAGGAGAGGACAGGACAGGACATCGGCATGAGGGGGTCAACGTCGAAACGCCCGCAGAGGAGCTGTGTGGTTCGACTTGCAAAATATCCTGCGAGTGATGTTTGCCGCAGACCCACACTTCTCATGGGGCCGGCTATGTACTCGCCGTTGCCGCCTCGTCGCCGCCTCGTCGACGCCCGTCGTCCCGGCCTGAGTGTTGGTCTAACGGCTATGTACTCGCTGTCGCCGCCTCGTTGCTGCCCGTCGCCGCCGTTGGATTGCACCACATGGGTTGCGCGAAAAGTTAACACCTGCGACGCGTCTTTGATCGCATGCAGTATAGATTGCAGCACAGATGGATTGCACAACATAGATTGCACCACATATAATGAACAAAGGCATACTTTGCACGACATATAATGCAAACATATATAGCACTGCCGATGCTCTCTTGTGTAAAAGTGTTTTATTGTATACCTCCCCCTCTGGACTTAACGGTCCACTTTGTCGTGCTGTAGTTTACATATGGTTATGACCCATCGTCCATTCTGAGTATGAGCGCGTATCATTACAGGCAGGCGCTTATCGGTCCCCCCTCATCCTCTGCAAAAAGTGGCAGGCGCGCAGACTCGCGTAACCTATTTTTTTGGTGTCAAGAATACCTTGCAATCTATGGGACGAAGTGCACACGCGTGCGCGCCGTCGCGCGTGTACGCCGAAATCCTTCAACAAGCTGTAGGTTTCGTATGGATGTCAAAATCGGAGTAAACACATGCAAACACTTGCTTTCGCAGCTTGGATTTTCAAAACAGTATGCGCTCGCTGAGGGAAACTTTGTTTTTCACAGTTTCACGTTTCAAAGTCGTTTCTGTACGGGTCTGCGACTTGCTTTACCACCTATCACAGCGGCTGCTGGCATCACAGCTGTTGCGCGTATCTTTATCTTCAGGTGACATTGCCCGCATTGTTGGCATCGTTGGCTCGTGGGACATTCTCGTAGAGGTCATCAGCCATTTGATATGAGCGCAGCTCGCCCCAGGAGTTCATATGTTCCAGCAATACTGCTGTTACGCGAACGCTTGTTTCGTGTGAGCGTAGCTTTCCCGCGTTTAAGTGCAGTGCCGCTAGCGCTTGGAGTTGGCCCGTGAATACGTTTGAATTGCCGCCTGGTAGCGTCAGGTAACCCAGTTTCATGTTTTACTTCCGAGGCAAAGTCCTACCGTTTTAGCGTGTACGGATTTGCACGGGTGCTTGTCTGCAAGCGGATCCGGTTCGGACAGCGGCATTTGAAGTCGAAGCATTCGTCAGTCTTTCAAGACGGCGCCTTTTCTTCAGCAAGGCGAAGCGCTCGCGGAGCATTTGCTGTTTAACGCGCTGCTACCCCGCGGAGCTAGACTTCAGAACTCTCGGACTTGCGATCACTCAGGGCACGATACGACACGGCAGAGGCCTGTCATGCTGTGCAGATGAGTGCCCAAGTCATGTTTTGGAGGCTTTTGTTCGCGCCCGCAGTCACGATATATACATATATATAACATATACATACACTCATAATCGTTTGATCACACTTCCACCCAATTCTACCACACGTACCTCTCGCGCGCACGTGCCGACATCGTTCGGATGCCCTTGCGCGCGTGCTCTCGCAAGAACCCCGTCTTTGTAAACACTTGACGAAGTGCACGCGCGCGCCTGCCGGAACCCCTCAAAAACCTTCGGTGTCGTAAGGGGTTGAATATCGAGTGTCCCGCCGGACCATGGAAAACATATGGTTTTACAACAGCCCTTTTCAAAACAAAAACCTGCGCGTTTCTGCGAATTTGTCAGATAGCAGTAGGTTTTTTTCGACATGTCTAAAATATTCGACCAAGCGGGTCTCTCGCGCCGCATGTCGAAATCATTCGGACGCCATTGCGCACGTGCTGGGTGGGCACGGCTCCTGTCAAATAGTACCGCGCGGGCCACTCGCGTCGGCCGCGCGCGCATGCCGAACGCCCTTCAAAACCTTCATCACCGACGCGAAGACATCGTCATCGTCATCGGCGGGCGTGATCAGCACCAGCGACTTCGACGTCGACGCCGACAGCAGTGATGATGACAACGACGCATGCGACGACTTCTTCGATGGCGACGACGACGAAGGCGACGGCGGCGGCGGCGACGGCGACGGCGACGGCGACGGTGGCGGCGGCGGCGACGGCGACGGCGACGCCCCAGGGCCCCCGGGGCCGTCGAGAGACGACCCAGTGCGAGGAGTTGGTCCTGGGAGAGGGCCCCTGGGTGCAGGACCTGATCTCGGCGGCGACATTCAAATCCCATACCCTCACCAATCAAAGCAACGATTCAGGCAACTCGATGGGCGGCGGGTTTCGAAATTCGTCGAACACGTGGCAAAATCCGAACCCGTTCTCCCCCTTCCAATTGTTGGTGGGGGTAGGGAGCGTACGTCGCCATCTATGATCCGAGTAGGGGATCGACTGCAGAAGTAATTATTGGGGTGCCATTATGTAGCCGATCCGGCTCGAGATATAGGATCGAGGTCGGCTCGAAGAGGGTCCTCTGACGTCCTTCGTGGTCGTTGGCTGTTCTAGTGCATCCTGGGCGGCGGAGGGTCTCATGTTCTTGAAGAGTGTTCGTCTGGACGCGCCTCAGCTTTCTTGACTTCGTTTTTGTTCCCTTTCCAGCAACTTGCGCTGTCGTGTATCAGTGTGCTTGCTTTCCGTGGGGTTGACTGCCCGCCATTTGCAGCTTTTTTCCCCCGCTAGTTTAGTGCTTACGTTTGTGATACGTAAAGTCGATTGTGCTATAGACGGCATTTAGTTCGCAACTTGGCTGCCCAGGGCAGACACTTCGACAACTTCGGCACTGACGAGGCGTGTGTGGCGATGGCAAAAAAAAATGTTCTTGAAGAGTGTTCGTCTGTCCTGGGTCCGACCGTACTCGAATGATTCCTTCAGGACGCCCTCCTTCACGCCGGCGGCGGCGAGCCTCTTCCGCCCGGTGCGGAAACGGCGCTCCCGGCCTCGAGGCAGACCGGGGACCATGTCGCTGTTCGACTTGCAGAAGCCCGACGCGACACGGGGGGGGGCGGGCAGCGCGGGGGGGGGAGTATCAGAGAAGGGAGAGGTACCCATACCGCTACCCTTCGTTCGTTTTTCCTTTTTTGAGCCTCCTGGGGGGCCCTCGTCGCCACCGCTGGATTAGCCTCGGAATTCTGGTCAGAACGCACCCCGGGAGAGGTCTGTGAAGTAGCCGTATCGGTACCTCTTGGTTTCCGTGGAGGCGGGTTGCGAGGAGGAGGAGGAGGAGGAGGAGGAGGAGGAGGAGGAGGAGGGCGAGGCGGGCGAGGAGGCTACGACAAATACCACGCATACGGGCCCACAGTGTTGTTCAGGCTCTGTGCGTGGGCCACCACCACGAGGCCCGCTGGACCAATACGATCGTCCACGGCATCCCGTGGCTGTACGACTGACTGCCTTGGCCCAGACGGGCGGCCCGCACCATCGACCGAGGAGGAGGAGGACCCCTCTGCCCCGGGTGCGTGGCTAGGATTCCGCTCCTCGCTGGGCTCAGCAGCCGAGACAAGGGTACATGGCTGCTTTCGTTTTTGAGGAGAGAGTGGGAAGAGGAAGAGGAAGAGGAGGAGGAGGAGGAGGAGGAGGAGGAGGAGGAGGAGGAGGAGGTAGTAGGAGGAGGAGCAGGGCGGGAGAGGAGGAGGAAGAGGAGGAGAGGAGGAGGAGGAGGAGGAGCAGAAGCACGGGCAGGAGGAGGCAGGAGCAGGAGCAGGAGCAGGAGCAGGGCGGGGAAGTAGGAGGAGGAGGAGGAGGAGGAGGAGGAGGAGGAGGAGGAGGGCGGGAAGAGGAAGGTCATTCTCGATAGGGGAGGAGGAGGAGGAGGAGGGAGGAGGAGGAGCAGGAGGAGGAGGAGGAGGAGGAGGAAGAGGAGGAGGAGGAGGAGGAGGAGGAGGAGGAGGAGGCGCTACCTCCTGTGCCTCCTCCACGTCCCCCTCCTCCTGGGAGATGGGGTACAGAAGGGGGAGGCTGTGGAGGATGCGGGCGGATGGGGGCGACGGTGTGCAGCGGCGGCGGCGGAAACGCAGGGGCCCCAATAGAAGAGTCCCCCCCCTCCTGCTTCCCCTCTCGCCGCTCCTGCCCCCCCTTCCTCCCCTTGGGGTCGGGAGGCTGCCTGGCTGCGCTGGAGCTGGGAGAGGGATGACGACGGCCGCAAGCCAGAGGATAAGGAGGCAAGAAGAGGATCGGACGCAAGGGGTAGGAAGACGAGGAGGAGGAGGAGGAGGAGAAGGAGCAGGAGTCTTACGTTATAACTTCGGGGGGGGGCCTTTCTGGTCCTGGAATCGGCAGTCTTTTCCTGTATTCCAGCGTGGGTTCGACGGAGGAGCAGGAGGAGGAGGAGGAGGAGGATGACCAGGACAAGATGCATGATTTTGAGCAGGAGGGGGAGGAGGAGGGCCTCCGCTGTCGCTGCGGGCGTGTGCGTCCGCCACACCAAGCCCGAGAGGAGGACCACGTCCCCAGAGAAGGCAGCAGGAGCACGATGCGCACGACGTCGGGCAAGAACGGGGGAGCAGGCGGTACAAGGGGAGGAGACGGAAGAGGAGGAGGAAAGGACTTGGAAGAGGAGGAGGACGACGAGGCGCACAGCGTCGGGCAGGAACGGGGGGGGAGGTGGTGCTGGAGGAGGAGGAGGAGGAGGAGGAGGAGGAAGAGGAGGAGGAGGACCCAGTGCAAATCTGATAAGAGCCATCGGCGATGCTGCAACCACCCTCCCTCCAGGCTCCCCACCTCCTCCTCCTCCTCCCTCCTCCTCCTCCTCCTCCTCCTCCTCCCACTGAGGGACGTGCCCCGTTGGAAGACGGCCGTCTGAGAAGTCTGAGCCGTGCCAGGACACCGCTTCTGATACTTCCACGCCTGGAATCACCGTGGCTGCTGCGTCCTGATGATCCTGCACCGTTCCAGAATACCATTCCTGGGACTTCAGCTCCGCGAGTTGACGTGACGGTGGCGCCCTGAGAGTCCTACATCGTGCCAGAGTTGGTACGCTAACCATAAGAATCCTTGAAGCTGCTAGAAAGTTGTAAGGCGAATGTGCGTGGCGCTAAGGTCAGAGCCCCATGATGCGGAAAAGGAACCGCCCTCCATCCGTGAAGCTCTTGCAATATGAGCAACGAATGTGCGCGGCGCAAAGGCGGGAGCCACATTTCGAGAGCCACCCGCTCTCCCTCCCTGACATTATTGCAACTTTTGGGTCGAAGGCACGCGGCGCCGAATGCGAGAAGCGCATGTTGTAAACCACCCGCCCTCCATCCGTGAGACTCTTGCAATTCTTAAGCTCTAGAAGTATGAACGGCGAGGAAGTCTCAGGCGAAACGTCCGGCCCGTCCTACCGACATGTCTCGGGATGCGACACGGGGGAGTTATATGGGAAACGGATGGAGAAGGAGGAGGAGGAGGAGGAGGAGGAGGAGGAGGAGGCGGTTGAGGAGGAGGAGGGAGGAGGAGGAGGAGGAGGAGGAGGAGGAGGAGGAGGAGGAGGAGGAGGGTGGAGGGCGACGACGACAAGGTGCACGACGACGGGCAGGAATGGGGGAGGAGGCGGTGCCGAAGGAGGAGGGCCTCCTGCGGCTTCCCGGCTCTCGCGGCCGCGGCCGCGAGGCGACGACAGTGATCAGATGGGTGCTGCGAGTGGTCCTGGTCGTGTTCCTCGCCTGGCTGGTCCGGCGACGGCCTGAGCAGGACGTCCTCTTTTTTTTGTTTGTTCTCTCTCTCTCTCTCTCTCTCTCTCTTTGTTCTCTCTCTCACACAGCCATCGCTCTCTTGCAGTCAATGGGAAACAACCGAGGTTGCGCAATTCATGTGGTGCAATCCAGCTGGTGCAAGCCATGTGGTGCAATCGATGTGATACCAAGCAGCGCAAAGCAAGGCAAGGCAACATAATGTAATGCGATGCAAAGCAATGCAGTGCAACGCAGTGCAACGCAATGCACAGCAATGAAGAGCAATGCAAAGCAATGCAGACCAATGCAAAGCAAAGCAATGCAACGCAATGCAATGCAATGCAAGTCAAAGCAACGCGGCGACGGGCCAGCCAGGGCCCAGCGGCGACGGCGGCGACTGTCGGCGACGGGCGGTGTCTGGCGGCGACGAGCCCTTGGGGCCCAGTGAACGGTTGCGGCGAGGTACCGTTCTCTCTGCCTTCTGGAAACGCCTGTGTTGTGAGACGTCGAGTGCAGGTACGTGTTGCCCCCGGCGCTTGGGGAAAACATTGGGAGGAACATTGGGGATGGGTATGTTGGTGTCATCTTGGGGTCCTCCTGGAGTTCCCTTGGCCAACTCGGGGGTCTCTTGGTCCGTTTTAGGGTGCGCTCGGGCCGTTTTGCGCCTTAGGGAACCGTCTTGGGGGCCTATCTGGATCGTCTTGGGGACTTCTTGGAGCTCTTTAGGGCTGTCTTGATGTCCTCGTTGGCCTTCTTGGGGTTGTCTTAGGGCCGCCTCGGAGTCATCTTGGGCCGTCTTCGGAGCTTCTTGGGCCGTCTTAGGGCGATCTTGAGGGCCTCTTGGACCGTCTGAGACTTTCGGAAGCCCGAACGGGAGAGAATGCCAAAACCGTTGAAACACCTAAGGAGCATTCATGATGTGGGTCTCCTGTCGGCCTCTGGGAGGCTTGCTTGGAATTCTTGTGGCGACCGGTGGGCCTCTTTGGCCGCCTTGAGGCCATATTGGAGCATCTTCGAGCCAGTTCGGTGCGTCTTGGAGGCATCTTGAGGCCATCTCGCGCTATTTTGGAGGCATCTTAGAGCCACCTTGGGCGGAAAGCCACTTGGTCTCACCTTTTATTTTCGCTTCTTGGTGGCCGACGGGATCCGCCGAAGGGGACCACTTGAACGGGCTGGGCATCCCTGTGGCAAGCACAGGTGGCGGCGGTGGATCGAAGACGCCAACGGCGAGACACGTATTATACCATAGTCATAGTGTACACCACATGATTCACTCTGCATAGATCGCTCCAGTTATATTGCGCATCACATATATTGCACAACGCAGGTTACATCACATATAGTGCACCAGATAGATGACACATCCCAGATATTCTCCTTTCTATAGAATAGACTCTCCCCCCCGGGATTATCCGCAAACCCGGGGGGGGGCAATATCCCACCCCCCGCCATCCGATGCAACAAATACTACGCGCGCACTCGTTTATCACACATCAGCAGTTTTCAAGAATCCATTGCCCGAAACACACGAAGTGCACACGCGCGCGTCGTCGCGCGCGCATGCCGAAATCCTTGAAAAACTTTAGGTGTCGTAAGGGTTAAAAAAAACCGAGGGTCACATATATATATATATATATATATATATATATACATATATATGTGAGTACATAATTAAATATAGATAACACAGTGTTTATCAACACTGATTTCCAAACAAACAAAAACTTGTGCGCGCATTCTTGCGAATTCTTAAGAAAACCGTCGGATTTTCAACATTGTCTGAAAGTGCTACTAAACGGGCTTCGCGCGCGCGTGTCGAAATCCTTCGAACGCCCGTCGCGAGAATCCTTTGCAACACATGGGAACAAGTGCACGCGCACGCGTCGTCGCGCGCGCATGACGACATCCTTCAAACACCTCTGGTTTCGTAAGGACTTCAAGACCGAGTGTCCAACAAACGTAACAAAAAAACATGGTTTGGCAACCTAACTTTTCTAAACGTGCATGCTCGCGCCCTTGTGACTTCTTTTTTCCCTACCTAGGCTCTGCCTAGAAGGGTTCTTACTCTGTAGCTTAAAGGGGCCGGGCAGTGCACCCCGCCCCGGGCGGTTCCCCCAGTCCCCTGGGACCCAAGCAAAAGCAACAGCAAAGGTAAAAGCAAACGCGCGGTTCCCCCAGCGAGCGCTCCCTGGGTGCCAAGCAACAGCAAAAGCAAAGGCAACATTGAAGGCAAAAGCGAAGGCAAAGCAAAAGCATAGCATAGCATATCATAGCATAGCAAAGCAAAAGCATAGCATAGCGCAGCATAGCATAGCCTAGCCTAGCCCAGCATAGCCCAGCATAGCATTGCGCAGCATAGCATAGCATAGCAGAGCAGAGCAGAGCAGAGCATAGCATAGCAGAGCAGAGCATAGCGCAGCACAGGATAGCATCCACTATTACTACTCCTAGGTAGGGTCGCACTGGAATATATATATATATATATATATATATATATATATATATAAACCATAGTTGTTCAACATGTTCACGGGGTTCTGCCAGCGGGCTTTTGGTGCCGCATGCCGAAATCATTGACACGCCCTTGCGCGCGTGCTGGGGGAGGCACGATCCGTGTCAAATAGTGCCATGCGGGCCACTCTCGCGCGCCGGCCGCGCGCGCATGTCGAACTCTGTCCAAAACCTTTCTTTCCGACGCGAGGACGCCGTCATCGTCGTCGGCGCGATCAGCATCTGCGCCGTCACTGGCTGTGCCGTCGTCGCTGTCAGCATCCTCACTGGCATCGCTATTATCGTCACCGTGTCTACCGTTGTCGACGTTGCCATGATACCGCGCCCGCGGAAATCGCCGACTCGCGCTGCAGTGCATGCTGGGATCTGCCCGGCGGTCAGCGCCACCGCGGTTGCGTCGGTCGCGCTAAAGTAGCTGTCCGCTGCGCGCGCGTGCATGCGCGGGCTGTCGCGGCCGCAGAGACGCACCAGCCAGCGCCAAGCACTCATCGCAATCGCCGCCGCATGGGGTTTGCAAACCAAGTTACGGGTGGGTGAGTGGGATGCTTGCGCGAGCAGTGGAGTGGACAATTTCAAGTCGAGCGTTGGTGGATTGCACCACGTAGTTTGCACAACAAAGCTTGCACCACAAAGGTTGCACCACCTAGATTGCACCACGCAGATAGCATCAGTTAGATTCTCGTTTCTAAAAGATTAATAGATTCCCCCCCTCCCCCCCCGGACTTATCGGTTCCCCCTGGGATAGTAGGATTTCACATATACCGCATAGACCACCCTTCGGGTGATAAGGAGGCGAGGGGGGGGACCACCGTCGCACTCGATCGATCTCACTATCGATCTCGCTATCGATCTCATTATCGATCTCATTCGATCAATCTCACAATCGATCTGGCTATCGATCTCACACTCGATCTCACTAACGATTTCACTATCGATATAACAATCGATCCCACAATAGATCTCACAACCGATCTGGCTATCGATCTCACGATCGACCTCACATGCGGTCTCACGATCGATCTCACGACCGATATCACTATCGATCTCATTCGATCGATCTCACAATGGATCTCACAATCGATCTCACATTCGGTCTCACTATCGATCGCACTATCGATGTCACAATCGATCTCACAATCGATCTCACAATCGATCGCACTATCGATATCACTATCGAACTCACTATCGAAGTCATGATCGACCTTTCGTTCGATCTCACTATCGATCTCACTATCGATGTCACAATCAATACCACAATCGATCTCACATTCGGTCTCACGATCGATCTCACTATCGATCTCACTATCGATCTCATTATCGATATAACATTGGGTCTCACTATCGACTTCACTATCGATATCACAATCGATCCCACATTCGGTCTCACTATCGATCTCACTACCGAACTCACCATCATCACCACCATCATCATCATCACCATCATTATCATCGTTGTCAACATCATCATCATCATCATCATCATCATCGTCATCGTCATCATCATCATCATCATCACCGACGGGACACCGATGGGACACCGGCGGGACACCGCGGGGCCCCGGCCGCCCGGAAGGGAATCATTTGGTCCGGCCGCGCCTCAGCCACACGGGACACCAGCGGGACACCGGCGGGACACCGCGGGGCCCCGGCCGCCCGCAAGGGAATCATCTGGTCCGGCCGCGCCTCAGCCACAGGAGACTTTCTCTCGCCCGCCCACGCAGCTTCGCCTCGCCCGCACGCACGGCACGCACGAACACGAAACCGAAATCGATTTCCCGGTAGGGGGGCTCTCCGTTGCACTTCGATCTCACCCCCTCACCTCCGATTCTGCGCACTCGTCCATCCTAAATATGAAATCATATCATCCCAGCCAAACGAGATTCCCCCCTCTGAGGTTCCCCGGTAAAAAAAAACACTATGCGGTGACATTTGTTGCTCTAACATACGATTTTTTCGCGAATCCCTTGCAAAAAATATGACGAAGTGCGCACGCGCGCGTCGTCGCGCGCTCATGCCGAAATTCTTCCAAAACCTTTCTGGTTCCGGAGATATTTCAAAATTGAATTTCCAAAAAGCATACAAAACACAGGGTTTCGCACCACTGATTTGCTAAAGAAGCTTACGCGCGAGCTCTTGCGAAATCTTAAGGAAACCGTGTTTTTTTTATAAAGATTTTCACAAAATGGTACCAAACGGGCTTCGCGCGCGCATGTCGAAATCTGTCGAAGGCCCTTGCGCGTGTGCCGTCGCGAGAATCCTCTGCAAAAAATGTGACGAAGTGCAGACGCGTGCGTCGTCGCGCGCGTACGCCGAAATCCTTCAAAACCCATCGGTTTCGGAAGGATTTCAAAATCGCGCGTCCAAAAAAACTACAAAAACACAAGGTTTCGCAACACGGGTTTTCAACAAAAGCGTGCGCGCGCGCTCTTGCGTCGTCGTCGTCGTCGTCCTCCCTCCTCCTTCGTCGTCGCCGTCGTCGTCTTCTGTCTTTCCTCGTCGTCGTCGTCG